ACAAAAAAAGAAGATCTGTTCATAAAGCTAAGTTCTTTGCGTAACAGACGAGCAACTGCTAGCAACATTCAATCGTCAATTTACGCCACCCGAGAGAAAGCAATCAGCAAAACAACAGTAAGAAGGAGATTGGCTGAAAGTGGTCTGAATGGAAGAGTTGCAGCTTCCAAGCCGTTGCTTCGCCTGATAAATAAGCGGAAGAGATTCTTATGGGCCAAAAAGTACAAGCATTACAGCGTAGACAATTGGAAAAAAGTACTTTTTACTGACGAATCAAAGTTTGAAATACATGGAAATAATCGCCGTGTTTATGTGAGACGAAGATGTGGTTAAAGATTGTCAAGTCAGTGCCTCAAGTCCACCGTGAAGCATGGGGGTGGAAACATTCAAGTCTGGGGCTGTTTCAGCTTTAATGGTGTTGGGAGTCTTTACAGAATAAAAGGCAATCTTGACAAAGGCAATGCCATTCTAATCTCCAAAGGCATGCTGTACCATCTGGCAAAATATTATGGGGAGAGGATTTACATTACTTCAGGATAACGATCCGAAACACAGCTCCAATTTGTGCACAAATCATTTAAGGAAGAAAGAAAATCAGGGTGAATTGAAGCTCATGGCATTTCCGCCTCAATCGCCCGATGTTAATCCAATTGAACACTTATGGGATGAGTTAAAAAGAGAAAAAGTGAAACATGACGTAATAAGCCAGGACAGGCTATGAGATGTAATCTCTACATGTTGGCATAATATTGAACCATCTACACTTCAAAATCTTGTTAAATCAATGCCAAAAAGAGCTGAAGCCATTTTGAAAGCTAAGGGAGGACATACCATGTACTGACTTTGCTTTTTCGAGAACTTAAAACCTAACATTGTTGTGACAGAGTGGTGATATGGTTCAAAACTAAAAATATGCATTCGATATTTAGTGGACTCATTTTTTTGGCACCTAGTGTACGTCAGCATTTTTAAATCATTTCGGTCACAGTGTGTCATCACGTGTCCGGATTTGATGCGTTTTCAAAAGTTTCCAATCTGGAGACCGTTCAAAAGTTTGCAGTTATAGTAGGCGTTTTCGCTGGATACGTGTGGACGATAAGTGTAACCGCAACAAAATATTTGTGGAAACGAACGAATCTGGATACGTGTGAACGGGGCCTATGATGGCTTGTTTTTATTTAAGTGATTATCAGTCAGTAATGATTGTTTCAGTGTAAGAAAAGTAATTAAAATTAAAAAATGAAAAGATATAATATCTTTATGCAGCAATTTTAAAATCGTTTATTTTGAACATCAAACAAAAACAACTTACTTGTATACATTCAACTGCAATGGTGACAATCCTGGCACATTTTGTTTGACAAGCCAACTCAATAGGAAGAAAATATTGATCTGCTGTAATGAATGTCTGCTGACCAGGTATTGGAGGTAGAGTTGCAGAAGAAACATTCCTGAAGATTTTATTATAAATAAATCAAACCAACATTTTCGTTTATAAATCTAACTATTGAACAATAAAACTTAGCAAATTTGTGAGCATGCGTAGTCTGGATATAACTGTGAATTAATTAAGATTCAAGGTTAATAACTCATTTTGGTCATGTTAAAATTGAAAAATTGGAAAAAAAATTGAACAACTTTACATAATAAAACTTACCCTGTAGATTTTCACTTCCTTGAACAGCGTTTATTTCCTCTAGAATAGATCAAAATCATAAAGCGATCATTTTGTAAAGCAACATTCCTGAACACAGCAGTACATTATATTCATTGCATACGTTTGCATTTCTCCATAAACATATATACATATAACTCAAGCAGAAGAACATGAACAAGCGATTGACACTAAAAAATAACTGTTTGCCACGTATAAAAAAGTACAAATCATACATTGAGCATTACGTATGGATTTATACCTAAAGCCGTTTTGCAAGCTTTCTTTAGTTGTGAATGATGAGACTTTTTTGTTTCTTTATCGAGTAGAATTCTTTGTAAAGCACCAGATAGGAACACGTTCTTCGTTTTCACGTTCTTCTGCATGACTGAACGATTTAAAAAGTTCAAAAAGAATGAAAATAAACCCTTACTAAGGCATCTCTATGAATTACTATTCCACTGGAATTCCGCCATCTTTCTATGTTCCATTCCATTTAGTCACATGACTATAAGGAAGTATCAGTGAACTCCATAACGTCACAAGATGTTTTACATACGGGAGTTGTTGACAGTATATAACATTTTCTGTCTTCAAGGTCATATGTACATATTAAACGTACAAAAATTATCTCTCACAATTTTCAACTACTGACCATAAAGCCCATTGACATGCATGACATGACATGATGGTGTTTTATAAATGTGAATCTTTAACATCATACTAAAGTTGTTTCCACGATATTAACATGCGTAAGGTAAATTTTATTTTCAGTTTTTGAAAGAATATTCAAAGAAAGTTACTCTATAATTTGAACAAAAAAATCTTCATCTACAACAACACCATATTGTCGACATTATTTCATTTCTATGTAGTGAACGTTTAATATATAATGAAGATAACCAAATTATCTGACCATAAATTGGATTAAAAAGTAAACCATCAACATAAAGTTCGTTCAGAGATTAAAGGTTTCTCACTTTTGGTAATTTTTACGTGTAAAACAAGCGACCATCCTTACGACAATCAACATCTTCGTGTGTGATATTCTCAATTTCATCACAACTTTGACAATGTTACAGTGTTCAATTCCGAAATATAAATTTGAAAGTTGGCGGGAATCATAGGATGAAAAAGAGCTTTACTTCACATTACAAAACACTAATCTCTCTCTCTGACTGTGATATTTTTACATAGTTAAATACTGACAGTTTTTCCACCGTTAAAACAAAGTATATGGACAATTTTTTCTGCAATCTTTTCGAGTTCGTTGTTGATACCATAAATAACTGTCCTTTTGTGATATGAAGAACTTTTTATGTTCGTTTTAAGTGATATGTAATGTCAGTAAATACAATAGGTTAATATAACTACAAAGGTTGAATTAGTGGATTCATTCAGGTACATTGAGTTTTAAAAATTGAATTTCGTACCCCTCACGTGACACTTGAGCTATAGTATCTGTGTTGGAATACATAGTTATATTAGATACAGAATATAATCTGTAAAATTCAGTTATATTATCATAATCTGATCCGTAAAAATCAGCAAGTTTTTCACCATTCTTTAAATCTACGGCAACCAAACAATTAAGATATTTACCAATGAAATATGATTTATGTACGATCGGGCTGGGCCATAAAAATCCAAAGATACTATGCAAAATCGCACTCACGTCATTGTTTTTATGCACATTAATTACATAAATGCCAGTTCTCTGGTCGAAATCGTCCTTGTAAAAAGAAAATGATATGACTGCTTGTTTACTATCATTTATACAGCAGTTGAAATTCAGATCATTTACAGTTATCTGTCCCAGAACAAATTTTGTAATAAAAGACGTTATGGGTATTTCTGCAGTATGCCAATATTCTAAGTATAGTTCATTGTTGGTATTTCTCCATTTCCATAATGTGTATTTCGTTTTGTTTACAGTTAAAATAACAGAATAATCAGGTGATACAGCTGCTGTTGTAAATTTTGAACCATCGACAGGAAGTCTTTCGTTGTATTGTATCTCACCCTTGGTAATTCTAACAACTTGAACAAAATCTAGTTCGTCAATACAAACTAAGATATCACCAAATGTAAAGATTTTCTTAGGTTTAAATCCAATGTTAACATGCTTTGCTTGAGTAGAATCTACAAAATTTTTAGACGAAGTTGATATCTTCATAAGATGGTCAGAACCATCCCATATCCACAGTAAACCATCTGACCACCAACATCCTAATGCATCCTTCAATTGCATTGGTACAGCTTGAATAATAGTGCAACATTCAATGCTCCAAATATGAATGTTAACGTGGTCACCAACAGCGAAAACAGCAAAAAAAGATCCATCCGGTGAAAAACAACAACATTTAATTTCAAATTTCTCAAAAATAAATGAAGGTCTCCAAAGATGATCAGTTTTGAAAATTTTAAGCTTGGAAAAATACGGCACAACGTAAAATTCCTTAAACGAGATGGGATGGACTTTTTTTAGGATTCCTACGAACACATGGACACCTAACACATGGTAAATAAAACTCGATTTCGCCTTGATCGTTGTATTTTGTCAACTGAGTGATTTCAGAAAGCTTTACAACCTGGTTAGTATGATAACAAATACAATCTCGATAATGATGGGTTGTCTTTGAATTTGAAGATAGTGAATACTTATTTTCTCTTGCAAAAATATCGATTGCCTTTGGGAATTGAAAAACATACGAAGTCCTGTTAATGACTGCACCAAAGAACTCTGAATATTTATCGGTGTATTGCAGTTTTTGGTATTCAACAACGCAGCGTCGATCAATTCTTTGCAAAGTTAATGAATTCCATACTGTGAACACTTCTTTAAAACAAATTCCATCATATCTTGCTGTAATAAACAAACCAGAATCTGAGAAAGAGCAACGATTAACGACAACATCTGATTGTAAACATAACAACAAACGTCCATTATTAACGTCCCACAACTTTACTGCAGTAGATCCATCACTTGTTACCAGTCTATTTCCAGTAGGTGAAAAGGAGCAACAACAGATGATGTTTCCAGGTACAGAATAAAATTCTATTAATAATGGAGCGTGATATATGTCATATAGGGACATAAGTTCGTCTACATCATGCCACTTATCCAACCTTGAATCATCGAGTGCAGTGCCTAGAGTGCATCGTTGTTCGAATTCTGGAAGTTCAAAAATAGATATTTGACCATTTTCATATCCTACAGCAAGAAGTTCTTCATTGGACGACACGCAAAGAGATGTAACGTTAGCACGCAAGGAGACAGACGAATGATGATGGTTTGTTAAATATGTTGAGTCTAAATCCTCAAACCAAACAAAGTTTCCTTGTTTCAATAAATCCCTTGCCAAAATCTTCTTTCGTTTCTGCTATCAATTGTGTTTGCAATAATTTGTAAATAAATTGAGCTATTATCAGACTTATATGACTCATTCTGTACTCTCTTTAACGTAATTAACAAATGATATAGTTGTTCCTCAAGTACATCTTTTTTTAAGAAAGTACGTCGTTTCTCAATGATTTCACGCAATTCAAACCTAATGATATTCAAGTAATCGTCTTCCACACCCATTAACATTGCACAAACCACTTTAACATCCACTGCCCAGCTAAAGTCAACATTTTCGCCACATTTTAACATATGATAGATTCCATTCTTCAAAGCATATTTAATCATAGCAGTGTTCATCGTTTCTTTAAAAATGTTCATCGACTTAATTTGTTCAAACACTTTCTCACAAGCATGCCATAAGAACTTATGACCATTTTTTGGATTAACTGTAAACTCATGCTGTTCGTAACCATCTGATTTCAACCAATCAAGTAGAGATTTGTGATACACGGTTAAACAATCATCGTAAACAGGCAAAATTTGAGATAAAAGTTCAATAACTTTACTGCGGACTTCAAACTTGATGTCACCAGAAAAACCTAAATAGCTAAACAGTAAAGTTAATGGTAAAAACTCCCGACAGGCAGCTAACAACTCAAGAAATTGCATGAAAGTAGTTTCTGAGATAACAGAATTTCTGGGACTTTCCTTCGTCAACAATTCTTTTACTCTTTTGAATTGCTTTGTGTAAACACCACTTAACCCACTAGGGACCAATTCTTGAATGTTTTCGTAAGTAAGCTCAATATTTTCGTCTTTCAAGCTCAGTTGGGCGTTATACGCATAAAGAAATGATCCCTCACATTTTCTAACTAATGACAATAGGACGTGGCGATATCCCTGCACCCGATTATTCAATTGATGTCTCAAATACTTGTACAGGTCTTCTTCGTTGTTTTCATCACGATGACGAGTTGTAATTTCCACAGGATTCATGTCTTTCAACTCCTTTTGAACAGGACGTTCTGGACGACTGGTGAGGAAGATTTTAATCCATTTAGGTAGTCGGGCAAATTCATCAGTAATCAATTCCAATAATTCACTTTTGCCATCAACTTGGCTTTCATCTAAGGCATCAATAACCAAAAGCATTGGTTCATGATCTTCTAATGAATGCAATGGATTATTTAATAAAACACGGAATGCATCGGCGATTGATTCTTTAGAATGGTTTCTCTGTAATTCTTCATTCAGTTTACATTTGAAATCTGATATTGTATCACACATGCTACTAGCTAATGATTCTATCAACACTCGAGGATTTCTATAATCTGATCTATTATATCTGCAGAAATGAGAAGCAGCAAGTTTCTTCTTTTCAGAATATCGTCGACACACCTCAGCAGCAAACACACTTTTACCAACGCCAGGACCAGCAATCAAAATCATGACATTAGAAGCATTTTTTCTTCTATCGTTAAGCCAAGTGTCGAGTTTTTCAAATAACCATTCTCTAGTGCCTTCAAGGTATTTCTTGTTCAGATCATTTATAACACCATTGAAATTGCACTTGCCAAGTTTCTTGAGATCAGAACATATTTTGACTTGCAACATGTCTTTTACTCCAACAACATCAGCTATTGTAGCCATCTTTTCTTTAATTTCTTCTACTTTATTTTTCATAGTTTTTAACATTTCAATATAATTTGCTTCATCGCGACTGAGACGAGCTTCTTTCAATTCATCTATTTCAGTTTGTTGAATACCCAGACCAACCAATGCTTTTGAAATTTCCTGCCACAAGTACTCAAACTCACTGTCCTTTAAACTAGTTGTAGTTATGTGACCGTACACTTCGTTTCGATAAAACTTTATTCTTGCAATGTTTGCTGAGATTGAAGTATCTGAAGAGGAAGGAAGATTATTCCATCCACTATGTGGCGCTGTTAGACAACATATGTTACGCAATAAGACAGTTAATAATGAAATATCAAAGTGTTCAATGTCAGGTGAGCCAGTTGATGGGTAAAGAAGGTTCCATTGCTCCTTGCTGATGACTTTGAATTTTAGTGGTGTCAATTTACTCTTTGTAGACGGATCATTAAGTTTATCTTTTAAGTTTGATGACTGAAGGTTTATAATGATTTGCAATGTTATTTTCAAGGCTTGTGTTCCTTTATTGATCAAAAGTTTACTTAAACGAGATCCGTTTGCCTCAAACTTCAGTTTTTGAGGCGGTGAAGCCATTTTTCAAGCTAGAAATGAAGAACGAGTTTGTTCAAAAAGCATCAATTTGCAATGTACAAAATGAGCACAACGAGATCCATTTTCCTCAATCTTTAATTTATTAGGTGGCGAAACCATTTTTTTATTCTAGAAAGGAGGAATGAGTTTGTGAAAAAAGGTATAATTTAAAGTGTACAAAATGTTTACAAAAGTTAAAAGGATAAAGTAAAAATAGTACTACAAGTCATTTATAAAGACATGTGTGCTTCATTTCTTTTTCTCGATAAAAATTGTGTTCACTGCCTAGTGACATGACCCAGTAACCGATCTTACATCAAGGCATTAAAATAGTACACTTGATACAATGAAAATACACTTAAAGTGATAACAATCGTGTGGTGAAGAGATACGTCGTTCTTTTAACAGGATATATCAAACTGGTTTGCTGCGTTGTACGAATAATTGCTTATTAACATTTTGATAGGACTATATTGCTGATGATTTTGTTTCAACTTAAATTTTTGCTAGACTGCAGTCTAGCGGACACAGGAAGCGCTTCTAATCGCGGGCTCATTTTGGTTAAAGATAACAGGGTAGAGTTTGGGTCAGCGACCAAGGTGTCCGCTAAACTGCAGTAGTCCCCTATAGGATATATTTGACGTCTGTATTAACCAGTAAAGCGTATAAATGAATGATATTTTCAGCTGCAAGGTTTTGACTATAGTCACTAAAACAAAGTGCAGATTATACGCTCTAAATCATAGGTAATTAAAGAATAACATATATGTAATTCACTTCAAGGCTTCACGTGCCGTCCCTGATTTCGACTGATTGCTACAACACGCGCAACACTTCCAAACTTCCAGCCCGAGTTTGGATCGCCCTGGCGCGAAAAGATATGATGATGATGACTCATACTGAAGATTAACTGAAGAATAAAAATAACTTATTCTTCAGTTATTCTTTACTTATTCTTTAGAATAAGAATAAGAATAAGAAGAATAACTGAATAACATATATGTAATTCACTCATACTGAAGATGGCATCATGAGATGTCGAAACATGTCTTTTTTCAAAAAACTTGTCGTTTGTATTAAATGCGCATTAGCAATAGTGCTTTTACGAAATTATGGAAATAACATAAGTATTCACTTTACTTAAAAAAATTCTATTCGTAATCGTTCGCATATGCGACTATCACCGATGACAGCCGAGGATATCACGACTAAGAAACACTGCCTGCCTCACTGCCTCACTCAGACACTTTTTCAGTATGGCATAGTGGTTAGCCGCGCATGCACAGTGGCTACCCACAAAAACTAACTAGTGATAAATTATATTCTTGTTATAATACAGTTTAACTTGACGTCTACGACTGCTCTCCCCCCCCCCAAAAATGTTGTTACTCCCCCAAATTTTACATCCTAGCCACATGCCTGCTCATATTGATAACTTTTTAAGCGTGATTCCGTTTGAAGATGCTACGAGAAATTCTAAAAACTTTACAATTGATGAATGTCTTCTACATAGTGAGATAACGTAAGAAAACCACAAATAATACACAAATCATACATTACTTTTTCTATAAACATCAATTTTGAAATTTTCATGTGTCCAAATGGGAGGCGCCGGCCCTATTATATTACTGGCCCAAGGCAAAATGCCCCCTTGCCTACCACCTCACTGCGGGCCTGGCCTGACAGTCAGTGAAACTTCTCGACTTTGTGTTGTTACACGATTTTCTTCAAGTAACTAAAACAGTTAGGCGCGTTGGAAAACAAAACAAGTATCTTGATTTCAGTTTCTCAGTGTACATGCTAAATCAAAGTTCATCTAAGAATAAATTACGTGCAAAATGAATGATTATGAAATATAAACGTTATCTGGCGTTCATTTTGACAACTTGAACATAATCTTTACATTACATTTATACATTGTATTGCTAACTAAAGTATACTTATATTAAAAATAATGATTGATGATGAAATATATACGTTATCATAAGTTCATTGTGACCCAATCTTTACTTTACATTTGTACATTGTACTGTTTACTTAAGTTTAATTATATTTAAAAAGAAATGTCACATTATGACGTGGCTTCTGTGAATGTCAAGCACATCACTGACTCAGAAATATTTATTATCAAACCTTTTTCTTCGTGTAAGAGCCGCATTTTTTATAGTGAATAATTTGAAACAAAAAATAAAACCTACTTTCCAGTCGTGGTATTAAATATAGCTTTAAAAGTCACTTATAGAATCATTCAAACGATTTTTATTTGGAATGGAAATAAACATTCATTTGTTTATAGTCATACTTCATACTACGCAATGCTTCGGTATCAAATTTGTTAAGTTAGTAATGTAAACACTAAATCTCGGTTAAATTACGTAAAATTACCTTTGTTTTAGAAATAAGACTTCTTATACGACGATCATGTGAACAAAATTATGCTATCTTTAGTTCTTTACATGTCACATACCTAACAAAGATGAGAGATTTAATATAAAGAACGCGACCGCATACATATCAGTTTAAAAACGGTAATCATAATCCATACCTTACTGTTACATCAATCTTTTATCCATGTAAGTTTTGTTACATAAAAAAATTTAAATAGCAAACGAAAATGAAGAGTGAGTCAGGATCTCCTTCAACGAACAGTGAAATAAAACATTAATGACATTTATTTAGAACATTCTAGTTATATAACTAAGTATACATCACTGACTAAAAACAGTTGTTATAGAGATAAAAATGCATAAATAAGAACGTCATGCAGAGTACATAACAACATTGAGATTAGTCAAATTCTAAAGAACTACTGCTAAATCTTATAAATTTCAAAAGTTTTAACTCAGGAATAGATGATCACTGATCTAAGACAGGATTTTAATGTCAATTGTTACGACACGATTTTGCAAACTGTAAACGGATTTTTTAAATTCATTAATCAAAATTTTCATACTTGGATATTCTCACACAAGTCACTTCATATTATAAAGAAACTTTGTTATCAAATAAACCATTTTAACTTACGAATACATTTCAAACATCAACTGCACGCATTATAATTACTTAGCTATCAGAAAAAACACTGTCGATACAACAGTAAAGGATGTAATCAAAATAGTCATGAAGATAATGGTAGTCTCATATGTGCAGTGACTTTAAGAAGCACATTGTAGTTTAAAAATCTCAATCTCAAACTATCTACTATCAAGATTAATCTTTGTTTTTAGTGTTATCATTTCTTTCTATATCATTGGGAATGTATTTGGTATATACATAAAACATCTCATTTCATGGTTGGGGAGAAAATTGTCGAATGGTGTGTGCTAATATTATTGGGCTAAGCGTATTACCGTGAGTAATGTAAAAATTCGTCACATTGCTCATGTTTAATGCAATATTTTAAGTAAAAAGAACTTCTTAGTGAAATGAAAGAATCATGGAATTTTCATTATGTACGAAAATCACACTTCCATACTGTATAAAATCATTTTATATTCTCGCTGAGTCGGTTGATGCAGAAGATTAAAAAAAATTGTTTTAGAAGATCTGACAGAACAGAAAACTTGCGTACATATTTTTTTTCAAAATATATGTCATTGTATTTATTAAACGCAGTGTTTTGGGAAATATACCCAAAGGCCGAGAAATAAAAATAGACATGAATATTCATGATAGATACAATAAATAATGTTATGATAAATGACTTCCTTGGCCCCAAATGTGGACACTGTTTTTTTTCCAAAACAAAACGAAATGGGAGGGAAAACCGGTGGATCCGGTGAAAAACCCTCCAATCAATAAAAAAATCGAAATTTAGAAAAATTTCTTTAAATTTTTGTTGTTTTCAAGATTTTTCATATTTTTGTTGTTTTCAATGATCCCGATGATCTACTTTAACATGCAGCGTAGTCAGATCGTAGCTACGTCGTTCGTATCTTAAATTCGCAAAGCGACAAAAAAAAGCGGCGACAAAAAAGTCGGCTGACTACCCTATTTATTGACACCGCAATATTTTGTGTTTGAACAAAAGAAACGAAAACTTTAGTAGAGAACAAAAAATGAAAGAGTGCAGAGTGTTAACAAAATTTTAATGAATAGACAAAAATATAAACTAATAGCAGCTCATACATAAATCATATGAAAAATTCATTCAGTACGTTCGACCTGATCATTCACCTACCAATAACAATGAAAAATGAAATGACCAAAGTGACGTCGTGACTTGCATACAAACTATTTTTGATGTCTACTAGTCTTCATTCGATCAAAATTTCAATGTTGCTTTATTAAGACCTTCATTAATAACTGGCTTTCACTCGTGTGTTTTGTCCGAAAATTTGACAATTGTAAAAATTTAGTTTTACGGAAATTTTTAACGGTTGAATGAAAAAATGCGTTATACTGATTAATAGTATGTACAACGAAAGTCACAAGTGGGAATCTTTCAATAAGGACGCTTGTTTCTTCGTGCTTCTGTCCAACTTGATTGTTCATTCAATGTCTAGTTATTACAGACATAGCTACTCTATAAAAAAACACATTATAAATGTCAGTATAATGAATGAATAAAATAAAAAATTATGTATTTTGAAAAGAACAAAACTTTAATACCTGATTTTCAAGCATTGTCCTGGTCCGTCAGATCCAGGAGTCTTAGTAGGTCTCTTTCACTTTTTTCACAGCGCAGCTTTTACGTGTATATCGTAACGTGTATATCGTAACATGTATATCGTAACATGTATATCGTAACATGTATATCGTAACATGTATATCGTAACGTGTATATCGTAACGTGTATATCGTAACGTGTATATCGTAACGTGTATATCGTAACATGTATATCGTAACGTATATCGTAACGTGTATATCGTAACATGTATATCGTAACATGTATATCGTAACATGTATATCATAACGTGTATATCGTAACGTGTATATCGTAACGTTTATATCGTAACATGTATATCGTAACGTGTATATCGTAACATGTATATCGTAACATGTATATCGTAACATGGATATCGTAACATGTATATCGTAACATATATATCGTAACGTGTATATCGTAAAGTGGATATCGTAACATGTATATCGTAACATGTATATCGTAACATGTATATCGTAACGTATATCGTAACATATATCGTAACATGTATATCGTAACGTATATCGTAACATGTATATCGTAACGTGTATATCGTAACGTGGTATATCGTAACATATATCGTAACGTGTATATCGTAACGTGTATATCGTAACATGTATATCGTAACGTGTATATCGTAACATGTATATCGTAACATGTATATCGTAACATGTATATCGTAACATGTATATCGTAACGTGTATATCGTAACGTGGATATCGTAACATGTATATCGTAACGTGTATATCGTAACATGTATATCGTAACGTGTATATCGTAACATGTATATCGTAACGTGTATATCGTAACGTGTATATCGTAACGTGTATATCGTAACGTGTATATCGTAACGTGTATATCGTAACGTGTATATCGTAACGTGTATATCGTAACGTGTATATCGTAACATGTATATCGTAACATGTATATCGTAACATGTATATCGTAACGTGTATATCGTAACATGTATATCGTAACGTATATCGTAACGTGTATATCGTAACGTGTATATCGTAACGTGTATATCGTAACGTGTATATCGTAACGTGTATATCGTAACGTGTATATCGTAACGTATATCGTAACGTGTATATCGTAACGTGTATATCGTAACATGTATATCGTAACATGTATATCGTAACATGTATATCGTAACATGTATATCGTAACGTGTATATCGTAACATGTATATCGTAACATGTATATCGTAACATGTATATCGTAACGTGTATATCGTAACGTGTATATCGTAACATGTATATCGTAACGTGTATATCGTAACATGTATATCGTAACGTGTATATCGTAACATGTATATCGTAACGTATATCGTAACATGTATATCGTAACATGTATATCGTAACGTATATCGTAACGTGTATATCGTAACATGTAACATGTATCGTAACATGTATATCGTAACATGTATATCGTAACGTGTATATCGTAACGTGTATATCGTAACGTATCGTAACATGTATATCGTAACGTGTATATCGTAACGGATATCGTAACGTATATCGTAACGTGGATATCGTAACATGTATATCGTAATATGTATATCGTAACATGTATATCGTAACGTGTATATCGTAACGTGTATATCGTAACATGTATATCGTAACGTGTATATCGTAACATGTATATCGTAACGTGTATATCGTAACGTGTATATCGTAACATGTATATCGTAACGTGTATATCGTAACGTGTATATCGTAACATGTATATCGTAACATGTATATCGTAACGTGGATATCGTAACATGTATATCGTAACATGTATATCGTAACGTGGATATCGTAACATGTATATCGTAACATGTATATCGTAACATGTATATCGTAACATATCGTAACATGTATATCGTAACGTGTATATCGTAACGTGTATATCGTAACATCGTAACATGTATATCGTAACATCTATATCGTAACATGTATATCATAACGTGTATATCGTAACGTGTATATCGTAACATGTATATCGTAACATGTATATCGTAACAAGTATATCGTAACATGTATCGTAACATGTATATCATAACGTGTATATCGTAACGTATATCGTAACATGTATATCGTAACATGTATATCGTAACGTGTATATCGTAACGTGTATATCGTAACGTGTATATCGTAACGTGTATATCGTAACATGTATATCGTAACGTGTATATCGTAACGTGTATATCGTAACATGTATATCGTAACGTGTATATCGTAACATGTATATCGTAACATGTATATCATGTATATCGTAACATGTATATCGTAACGTATATCGTAACGTGTATATCGTAACATGTATATCGTAACGTGTATATCGTAACATATCGTAACATGTATATCGTAACGTGTATATCGTAACGTGTATATCGTAACGTATCGTAACATCGTAACATGTATATCGTAACGTGTATATCGTAACATGTATATCGTAACGTGTATATCGTAACATGTATATCGTAACGTGTATATCGTAACATGTATATCGTAACGTGTATATCGTAACATGTATATCGTAACGTGTATATCGTAACGTATATCGTAACGTAACGTATATCGTAACATGTATATCGTAACATGTATATCGTAACATGTATATCGTAACGTGTATATCGTAACGTATATCGTAACGTATATCGTAACATGATATCGTAACGTATATCGTAACGTATATCGTAACGTGTATATCGTAACGTATATCGTAACGTGTATATCGTAACATGTATATCGTAACGTATATCGTAACGTGTATATCGTAACGTGTATATCGTAACATGTATATCGTAACGTATATCGTAACATGTATATCGTAACGTGTATATCGTAACATGTATATCGTAACGTGTATATCGTAACGTGTATATCGTAACGTGTATATCGTAACATGTATATCGTAACATGTATATCGTAACATGTATATCGTAACGTGTATATCGTAACGTATATCGTAACGTGTATATCGTAACGTATATATCGTAACGTGTATATCGTAACGTGTATATCGTAACGTGTATATCGTAACGTATATCGTAACATGTATATCGTAACGTGTATATCGTAACATGTATATCGTAACGTATATCGTAACGTGTATATCGTAACATGTATATCGTAACGTGTATATCGTAACGTGCATATCGTAACATGTATATCGTAACATGTATATCGTAACATGTACATCGTAACTTGTATAATAACGTGTATATCGTAACGTGTATATCGTAACGTGTATATCGTAACGTGTATATCGTAACGTGTATCTCGTAACGTGTATATCGTAACGTGTATATCGTAATATTTTTATCTTAAAAATTCAATGAATCCTACTTGCAGCATTGCAATTTGGTTTATAAACGTTAAATAAAATTAGTAAAAGTAGCGAGTGAAAGCCAGATATTTTCTCACAGCAGTTGACATCTTTTATTGACATTTTTTTAGCTAATATGGGTGTTCGTCATGATTATGTTTCAAATTATAAAAATAGACCATCGGGATCCTTTTTGAATCTCTCATGCAGTTACTCATAGCTATAAGTTAATTTTAATACTTATCTACTCAACTTACAAACCACAAGACATAGATCATGTTTTTCCACTCGCTTGTTTTCCATCTTCGTAGATTATAGTCCAATCACCTCAATGTTAATGTTCACACGTACAAATGCCGTTATGCAATGTCCATTCAATATGTTTATACCATTCCATACACAAATTAATCGACGTAACCAATAAAGGGCTACTGTATTATGAATCGCCATTTCGATAGATTACTGTTTACAATGCACTCTAATGGTAATTTCAAGCGAAGGAAAAGGCTCACTTCAAAACCCCAGTTATATCATCACTCAAAGAATGCTTAGTGCAGATTTGATCTTCTATGAATGTCAGCTGACCACTTCCAGGTGAGTTCATATAACAATGGGGCCCATCATCATTATATAACAAACAACTGACATCCACAAAGAATCCAAACTGCATATGAACATTTTTGGCCATGAATCACCATGACACATGAGTAATGACAAACTAGTAAGAGTAATTGAAGTGAATGACACAGGTGGTAAAGGGATTTTCACAACTCCATCCATGTGGGATCTACAATATAAGCTAGAAAATATGAAACACATGTACGACATTTCATGATAAAGAAATCTACATATGACGTTAATTGGCGTTTTAAATTCACAATCAGATATATTGAGAATGAGCAAATTGTTATATGTTTTCTGTTGGTCTATCCAAATGGTAGAACATTCACCAAACATTGCACGAATAGCTTTAGTCGATTAAGTTTGAAAGATGTAACAAGTTTCAAACGATCAAAGGCTTAACATCGTTATTAAAGCATTTTACATTGAAAGCTTTCATATTACGAGGCCTGCCATTAAGACTAGTTGATTATTCCATGCAACTCATACTTCAGTAATCTGTCAGGAAAAAGACAGAATTCACCTTTCTTTCCTCAACGTTAAAGTGACTAAGTTTGAGTTGTTAACATTTGCTTAATCAAGTCATGACTAAAATTTTTCTTGTAATTGGCCCCTTAGGAGCTTTTCACCTTTCACAAAGACAATGAGTAATCCTTCTATGCATTTGAACAAAAAATTCATTAGAATCTACTTTTTTTTGCGTTTTAATGTCGTTATGCAAAGCAAATATGCATGGTGTTGTAGGGTAAGATACATGAGACGATAATGAATTTATAAACTAGACTTTAATTTTGTCCAAATATTCATTGAATCTTGTAATTATATGTTGCTAAGTTAATGTTAGGAGAGAATTTAAGGGCGTTCTGTTTTCCCCGAGTTTCTACTACTAAAAATATAGTAGACAGTCGTAGAAAAACGAGCAAAAACAGTTACGGCTCTCGCTCATTGCAAGTCTAAACCTTAATCTATGAAAACTGCAGTTCTATGCATTCCACCACATATAGCATTGGAGACAGATAGCAAATTTAGTGTATTTGTATTCATTGCATATATTCAGTTATAACTAATGTGACATTGAAGAAACAAACAAAAAATCAGTAGCATCAATGAATTGAGATTTTCACAAGATAGTCACTTACATTGGAAGTTTCAGGCCGTAGGATGTATTGTCATAAATGATATCGAAACAAGTAGCTACGTGTGTCACACATTTCATAAGGGTTTTCCTCTTTCAAATTTCTTTTTGCTGCTGCTATCAACATTTACGACGTGGTACTGAGGGTATATATCTGTACATCGTGGCTTTCAAATGTTTAAATATGTGCGGTATGTCCTTGTTCAGTAGCATTCAGATATTGGCGGTCTTGATTTTTTATCAACACGTTTAAATACATCTGCAATTAAATGAGACATGTTTCGGTAACTTGTCATCAAGGAGAGTTGAAGGCAACAACTTTATTTTGCATGACACAATTACAAATCATTATACTTGTCGTTTATGTGTAAAGTTTTGTTCCATCTTATATGAACAACATCTGCCTTCCATGACGCCTCGTGGTTTATATGTGGCTTGAAGTGAATAGTATATTTATAAATAGTGTTAAGCATGTCATTATATGTATTTATTCAACATGATTGTTTAACCCTCTGGGAGCCGTGCCTTTTCAAAAGTTCGTAAACATCTTGTTTGGTGATTGTTGCCTGTGAGCATCAACTGCCTCTAGAGGGTTAAAACTCACAGTTTTTGCTTGAACAAATTACGGGATATCTATTAAATCTAATTTTTAAAAACAAAAATTATTGTTGTCAAACAAAAGAACTATGCTCTCCCTACATTAATATATATGAAATGCTAGTAAAAATTGACTATTTTTCGGTGATATTACGTCAATTATTTATTAATTAAACATATTCAGCCTATTAAATAACGCTAATATTATAATTTTGGGCTTGAAGATGTTGGTGACGTTAATGAGAACGCCTTAAACCATTCTCACAGTATATTAGCACAGAATCATGACTATACAGAAGGGTCACTCAGGTAGCCAACGTGTCCTTACAACGGTCATTATTACAGCCAGTTTATTAGGGTTTTGACTTTTCCCAACCTTCAAAATGATCCAAAGTCATGTCTAAAGTCAAAATATTCTCGAATTCATTATTAAGTATTGATGTCATGTAATTTTAATGAAAAGGAACGTATTTTATTATGATTATTATTATCTATTACAAATATAAATGTTAAAAAAATCTGAATCAAATATGACTAAAATCAGTGTTTAAAAATATCCATGATAAAGGGACAGTCAAATGTAAAGACAACTTTCCCAATAACCTAGGTCAATATTTAAAGTATGTTCGCGAGTTGAGGCAGATCGACTTCCTCGTATCGCAGTAATTGCTGACCTAATCAGTGCGAAAGACAGTTTACAACGCATCCACGCTAGCGTGATGCCATATTGCAGCTTTCTCTTTTGTGCCAGCAGATCAGCTAGCCGTTTATAAGCAATTGCAGTCTCTTTCCCCATACCACCTGATGTTGAAAAGACCAGTGATGAAAAAGCAGCATATTCAATCTCTCTTACTCGATCACCATATTCCCTTTTCTTAGCCATCTCATGCTGACGATAGAGTGCAGGTAGATTGGTGTTTTGGTAGCTCGACGCATTTGGGTGAAATACCCTTACATCAAAAAATGCATCTTGCTGTCTAGACCAAAAACCTTTAGCACGAATATCTAGTCTCGCTTCTTCTTGTCTATTGGCTGTACGAGGTAATATCACTTCCCCAGAAAGAGGTTGTAATTTTGGCTCTTTCACAACTGTCGAGCAAACTTCTGCCATCCACTGTGCTGTTATTCTCGAATTCATTATTAAGTATTGATGTCATGTAATGGTTGGAAACCAGTAACAAACCCTAATCAACTGGCTGTAATAATGGCCGTTGTAAGAACACGTTGGCAATTCTGCATAGTCATGATTCTACGCTAATATTGATTTTGGGCTTGAAGATGTTGGTGACGTCAATGAGAACGCCTATAAACCATTCTCAGGACCTTAACGTATCAAGATATAACTGCAAGATTCAATGAAGATTTGGTCAAAATTAAAATCTAGTTTCTAAATTGATTAAGGTCTTATGAATCCTAACTTACTTCACAACATCATGCATCGCTTTTTTGCATAACGACATCGTAAGATTCTAACGATTTTTATATTTAAACGCGTTTAACGTGGTCAAGACGTGGTCTCATATATTGACAACTAAAGTTTGAAAGATTTGGGCACAGAGTAATGATTATACAGAAGGGTCACTCAGGTGTACAACGCGTTCTCGTGACGGCCATTATTCTAGCCAGATGATTAGGATTTCTCACTTGTTTACAACCATTAAAATTACATGACGTCAATACTGAATAATGAATACAAAATCATCAAAGATTCCGACAAGAATGACTCTTCTGTATATTCTTATACTGTGGTAAGGGTTATAGCATGATCACGTGTGTTCTACGAGATTAAGAGGTCTATTTATTAATTAAATATATTTAGCTTATAAATTCATTAAGGTCTAATGAATCCTAACCTACCCTACTTAGGTAAAGTGAAATGGACCTGACTTACGTTAAAGCACAGAATAGGAAATGAACAGAAGGCCAACTCAGGGTGCGATGTGTCCCAGATTTTTATGCGCTTACGTCAGATCCGCCATTACTCTCAAAGTACTGCGGTTGCTAACTACTATAAATTATACAATACAATGGAAATTTTTTGTAAGAGAATCGCGCTTTCAAGTAAAAATTTTAAAAAAGGCACTGGCGTTTTCGCTGGATACGTGTGGACGATAAGTGTAACCGCAACAAAATATTTGCGGATATTTACGAATCCGGATACGTGTGGACGGGTCCTAAGATGCCTTGTTTTCATTTAAGTGATTATAAGTCAGTAATGATTGTTTCAGTGTAAGAAAAGTACTTAAAATTCAATGAAAAGATATAATATCGAGCTATTTACATAGTTAGAGGTATCAGATTACTGTGAATGTGTAAGTGTGATGTTATGTATAGTTAGGGTGAGGTGTTGAGACTAGAAAAGCTTCAGAGGGATGGATCTGCCTTGGGCGTTAAGTGAAGGTTTTAGCTTGGAGATGATGAGGCTTTCGTGGATCATGAGGTTCATTGTGTCGGAGCCGGATGAGAGGATTTTAAAACCGTCTGGGAAAGCAGGGTGGTTTGAGGAGTTACTATGGAAAAGAATACTTGACATTAATGGGATAGTAAGCGTTTTCCAGTCAAAGGAGAGACCCCCAAGTGTTTCGTGATTCTGGTGTGTAAGTGGCGTGTGGTTTGACCCACACACGATGCGCAACAGCATCGACACATAAATAAACAACACCAGACCTCAGAGACTTGCGAATTTTATCCTTAACTGGAAAAAATGAAGAGATTCGTGTGGGGGTATGAAAGACGAATCTGACATTGAGATGAGGGAAAGCAGCGTTGTAGAGACGATTGATTTGTGTGCGGATTTGTAACAAGTGACAGCCGGTGAATGAGAGACAAAAATACACTATTTTCTTTGGGACACAAAAGACAGGTGTTTTTTTTTCGAATTTTGCGTCAAAGAAACGACGGACAATGTGGTCGAATATATTAGTTAAATAGCAATTGAGTTTGAATACTTTTCTGGTGGTTTCAATTTGGACATGAATAGTCTCATAACTAGAGCTGAGGTTGAACAAGCGGTGTAACAGGCCAAAGATGAAGTTGCGTTTATAAGAAAGTGGGA